ATGCTATACTTTACAACTCTGCTTGCAGCTGGATGTTGCCAAGCTGCAGAGTTCTGGAGAAGTTTCTATTAAAAGCTTTCCTTCTCTTTTGTGTAAGGAAGTCCCTGCCTTTCCACATTCTTCTCTCTTTCCTTCTTTCTGCCTGAAACAGAACATTAGGATGGTGGGGCGGGGCAGGGGGCAAGTAGGTAATCCATCTTGTGGTCTAAAGGACAAAAACCACAAAGCTCATGATGACAGAGAGAAAGAAAGTACCAGGTACACTGGTGACATCCTTATGCACTAGCTCTAGACTCTTAACTTCAGAATACTTAATCAGTGAGAAAAATTAACTCTATTTACTGTTTACTGTTTTTCAAGTTTTCACTTACATATCAAACTAAGCCAGTTTTTCTTTCTCTCTTTTTTAATGTTGCAAAAATTTGTTCAAAACACTTCTCATTCTCAGAAGAAGTTTATAGTTACCTTTCCCTAGCATCTATCACACTACCCTACTTATCATTAGTTCAATTAATTTAAGAAAATGATTAATAATTAAATGATCAGAAAACAGACCAGCCTAACTAAATATATCTTTCATCAAGTTGGAGCATTGGCTAATTCATCTCCACAATCTCAGTCCTTCCAGAAACCAACTGAAATAGTGGAATAAAAACAAAAATCAGAGAAAAACCTGTATTGGTAATAAATTAAGTAAAGAGAAAAAACCTGCATCAGCAATAAACTGAATAAAGAGAGTATACTCAAAACCTCAAGAAATAGTTGTTAAATATAGTACAACTGAGACTTAAATAAAGACAGCTGACTCATTTCTTTCATTATTTGAAAAGCAAAAAATTAGACTAACTAAATACCCACTGATGAAGAAATGAATAAATATGGTAAATAAAGGCTATCCTGATGATACCCCTTTCTCCTTCCTGATGAGGAGCAAGGCCAGAGGGAGGATGGACCATGAGTTGGGCGGGGGAGACTCCATTAGAAGACCTTCCGCCATCACAGTACAGGAATACTCAAAGACATCTGCATCACAACTAGAAAGGGCTACTGTGGTCACACTAAAAAGAAAACAGGGCCCCCCTTGACATAATTCTTACTGAGACAATGCAGAACATTTTTCTGAGTACTTCATCCAGTGTAGCAGGCCACACACTAGTACCAGGCCTTGGCATGTGGGGGTACTCTTCCAACTCACCAAGCAGTGGCATCAGAGAAGAGGTTGACACAGATACTCCATATGCCCAGAGTAGAGGCAGAGGCTTGGGGTCTGGGGTGTAGCCCAGCACTTGCCTAGCGTACCTACCTAGAATGTGTGAGGGCTTGGGTTCTATCCCACCACTGCCCCACCAAAAAACAGTGGCAAGAAAACAGATGAAGGATACTGGCACTATGGTTTCAGAAATGTGATGAAAAAATCTTTTTGAGAAAAAGTTCCATTGCTGGTTGTTCCCTCCTTTTCTCCTTCAGGCCAAAGGATTGCTGTGCCAGTATAAAGACAGATAACCTCCATTCTTTTAGCTTAAAATGTGAGAAAAGTCCAATGATACCAAGTGAAACTGTTAGGCATTCACACAATTTATATATAATGAACTCCTACTATGTGCAGGAGTTGCTACAGGCAGGAAGAACATAACAATGCAAGCACACCAAATGCCCCATTCCCATGGGGCTTATATTTATCTGGGGGTCTAACTACCTTCTGGAATAGTCTTGCCTTCATTCAAGAATGGATAAAGATGAGAGGCAAAATGGATCAATGCAAACTCACATACAAGATTTTACAATATTAATTAAAAAAAAGGAGCATGGAAGCAAAAGTTTAATTGTATTTTTGAAAATGATACACCATAAAACTGCTAGATCTCCTCAGAAGAGAAAGATCCATGCAGGTGGCTTACATCAGCCATACACCCTTCATTCTGTTCACAACCTTAGAAATATAACTGAAACACAGCAGGCACTCAGGGAGTATCAGGTGAATAAGAAAAAGTAAATTTTTACACTCTAGAAAAAACAAACCATATAAAACAGATCTTTATCTGTTTAAGAAAAATGTGAAGAAAGAAAAACTACCTTAGTAGAATGTTAAAAGTCATGAGATGTAATAAAAAGGAGACAGCAAAAAAATCAAATCAGTACTGTACATAACATATCTCAGAGGACCTTTCCAAATGAAGTGGAAAATTATAGAGAGGAAAGCAAGCAGAGAGAGTGTAACAAAGAGGCAATTACCAGAAAATGAAATAATTAGTGTTAATACAAAAAAAAAAAA